CTTGCTCCCTATCCACTTAATTCTACAGCTTTGACAACTCAATTTCAATGATGCCCCAAGGGAACATACTACCACCACTGAGACGATCTTTAAATGTGAGGCAACCTTTAGTAAATAATATCTCTCAGCCAAGGAGTGGTGTATTTCACTGGTGTAAGTTATTACTGTATATATTCAATTTTAAACTGACCTGTGTATCCACCGAGGCACCTAATTTTACCACAAAAATGGTATAAAAAATGGGCTGAGAAACTTGGTTTACAGTCGAGTCTATGTGTTATATACTTCATCCTTTTCCTGTTAATACCTTGATACATCCTTCCCCCCAGGTAACAAGTATGACCTTCACTACCATACACACTATGTCACAATCTTTCAATCTTGACATTATTGTCTATGGAGGGAATTGAGTAAACCATTAGTCATAATTTCAACCAAATATTGTTGAGTTCATTCCAACTCACTGCGAGCCCATGCATGTCAGAGTAGAACTGTGTTCCACAGAACTTTCTGTGGCTGGTTATTTGGAAGTCGATGCTTAAGCCTTTCTTCTGAAGTGTCTCTGGCTAGACCTGAATCTCCAGCCTTTCAGTTAACATCTGAGCATTTTAACTGCCTGCATCATTATAGTTTATTTGTTATATATATTTAATACGGAAGATTATTTTTTCATAACCTTTCTATTATTTTGACTCTCATGACACAATATACTTAGCAAAACATACCCTAGAGTCAGGAACAACTGTGTTTGAATCCCAGAATTAACAGATTAGATAATTTCTTAATTGTTGAGACCCATTTCAGTATCTATAATGGGGTGATGATGAATAAAAATTAGAAAAAGTACCAAGGAATGATTTGTTAGAATATGCTAACAAATATTAGTTGATATTATTTGTCCCTTGTTACGTGGAGGACGGACTAAACAGGTGCTCTCCATCATTCATAATGTTGCCTTATCCCTCTGACAGAGTAGAAGCTCTTTAAACGTGATGGAAACACCTTTATTAGCCAGGACTCCCTTTGCTTATTGCTTAACAAATGCTTGTTGCTTGCTTATTGGGCTTTTGATGGCAAGGTTTCCATGTAGAGTGTCATCATAATCTAATTTTCAATGTTTCATGCTCCAAGCTTAACACCCTGCATTCTTGAATTCTTAGAATGGCTCCTTGCAAACATATTGCTAGCTAACTTGAGCTGGCCTCTGTTGTAGTGGTGGGGGGATATAGCATTAGTTGCTACATATTTGGATAACACAAAATAAGTCATAATGAATGGATCCTTTTCTGAAACATAGTGAGAAGCTGCATGTACATTATTATTATTATTGTCATTAGGTGCCCTTGAGATGGTTCCGACTCATAGTGACCCTATGCAACAGTATGGAACGCTGCCCGGTCCTGCATCATCCTCGCAATTGTTTTTATGGCTGACCACTTTGTTGCAGTCACTCTGAAACTGCATAAAGTGAACCAAACTCACCACCATCAAGTCAATGCTGACCATGGCGGCCCTGTAGGACAGGGTAGAATTGAACCTGTGGGTTTCCCAGACCGTGATTCTTTATTGGAGTAGAAATCCACATCATCAACTCTGGGGATCCATGTGTGGTTAGCATCTCAAAGCACAACCACTAAGCCACCAGAGCTCTCTCTCTGAAGAAGCGTAACCTGGGGCAAATGTATTCCATTGTATTGAGAGGTTATGATAAGGGACGCAGGATGCAAGTGCTCAGGGTTGATGATAGCTTACAGAATTTTCCATCTGACCTCTCCTTCCTCCTTTTACTTCCACCCCCAAAAGTTATGTTTAACCAAATAAACTTTATTTTCTGAATCCCTGGAATTCATCTTCAAAGTCTTTGAGTTTCTCGGAACGTAGTACAAATTACATTGTCATGGTGGTACTGAGAAGGAAATGAATGGGGGTGAATGCTTTCTCAAAGCAATTGGATTTAAACTATCATTAGATATTAATCTGATTTAGTTTCAATCCCTGTGTCCTTCAATGGACGGATGATTTGGGCAATGGGGCACTTAAGACAAGTCTCAATCTATTATGTGTAGGTTAATACCATTTTGGTTTTCTATGTAGGCAAGAATGTAGACGTGAAGGAAACGCTTATTTATTTATATTCTACATTCACTAGGCATTAAGATAAAACATTTGCATTCATTCATATATTTAATGCCCTGTTCAGAGAGACATTCCCATTTAGAAATAAAAAAGCTGAGCCACAGAGAGATCTGAAGCACTATTTTGGTTCAACACATCCACGAGCCACAGAAAGGATTGTAAGCGCAGACTGCTCTTATGCTTTGTACTGCCCCAGGTCTCCCCCAGTGAGACATATCACATGGTCCAGGTAGCATACCTTTCCATGTTTACCGAGCCCTGATAGAAGTTGTAATCAGAAATAGTGCTAACCTGCTCTTCTGTGGATTCTTTCAAATCTCTCAGGCAGACCAAACCCTCAGCCACTGGGGAAGATATGAAAAATTTATTAGGGGTGGAGAATGTTGAACTGAAAATCTGTTTCCCATGTAGCCAGGGTGTCCCAAGAGAGAGAAGAGAGAACTGAGAGAGAAATGCTATTTCTTCAATTTCACAGGGGAGAGAAGAGTAGGTTACAATGAAGTGATGTCAGGGATGTTATCCTCACAGATCAGAGAACATGGGATTTCTCTCATCGAAGGTAAGTCAAAAGGTTTCCTCCAGAGTCTGGGCTGAAGACTCACCTTGGGGATTGCTGACACTATAATTGCTGACACTATTGCAGGGTCACTGTAATGACATATTTTGCATTCTGTTATGTATTTTACTATGGTGTAAACATTATTTAATGAGATGTAAGATAAGGAAAGAAGGACTCTCAGTTGAATGTAGAGTACTTCTAGTGTAACGGGGAAGGTGTAAAGGGTTTCAGTTATTCTGAAATCCTTACGTGAGAAGACCTCTATGTAAGAAGACTAGCTGTGCTTCCTGTTTAACCTGGGAGAGTTAGTGCTTTCTCTAAGAAAAGAGATTTATGTTTGTTTGTTTGATTATTTTTGCCGGTTTGTTTGTGTTTGCTTTTTATTTCATGCTGAATTTATACCTGTCAAAGAAACAAGCAAAAGAAGCAAAAAAAGAACTCAGGCTGTTATGAAAGGTAAGGCACTGGGAGCGAATACAGTGCTGTTCTTTCAAACAACCCATTTGTGGATTTTCAATTAAGATAATATTAGAGAGAGAAGACAGGCTATGAAGTTCCTCTATCCCAGTGGAAACAAGGTGGAGCACACAGAGATATGTCTGTATAGGGCACTGTTTGTGAAAATGCAACCAGTTTGAGCCCATTCATCTCCTTATTCTTGCTCAATTTTAGACAATGGTAATTAATCCCTTATAGTGAGTCATAACAGAGTCAGCCCTTCTATATCCTCTTTCATTCTGTTTGTTTTATCATTACTCTTTGTTTATTTGGGTTTATTATAGAAAAAAATTCTATTCTGAAACCTTGCTTTTCATAGATGTAGGTGGATTCCATATTCAATCTATTAAGTACCATTCTCTAAATTAAATCTTGGTTGCTTAGATTTGAACCTAAGTTTTTTTAAAATGGGATCCTGAGTCTAAGTCTGACTTCTTGCACCAGCATTTTTGTCATTGTTTCTCATTCTGTGCTTTGATGACAGTATTAGGGCTTAAGATTTCTGACCCAAATCTTTGGTTCCCCTTTTCCCAACCCATATTTTTAGACTTTGTGTGTCTTTTAGTGTGGAATAAATGCTGAAAATCATACAATATGTTTGGCCTCTCTAGATAAAAATGACCCCCCCAATATTAATGAATAGTGCATTCTTAATCAATGAAGTGCAAAATTCTAACATGGATATGACCTGATGTAAATTGTGCTTCATTAATTATTGCCAGAACCTGGTATTTGAACTCTTGAAAATATAGGTTTTTCATCTATACTCAGTTTTTTCTTAAAAATCTTATTTTAGCACTTATGATACTGTCAGAAGTGAACTTATTTCCATTTAAACTATCTCTGATTTAGTATGTAAAGCAGAACGTGGCCAGTGTTATTCCTAGTGCTTCCAAGTTCTCTTGTGATCTCATGAACTTCGGTGTTGACTCCTTTGCCTAGTTGTATCACTATTGTCTGAGAGAGCCTTTTTTTTTTTAACGGTCTGTTTCTAGAAATCTTAAAGGGAATCACTGAAAATTCTCAGAATCTTACTGACTTTCCCTCACTCTTCCTATAGATGCTGATTTTGGGAAGTTAGAATGGGATTAGAACCATACCGAACTGCATGAGATTGTCCTCTATGTTTTCCCTGGGCCGTTCATTTAATCAATTTTTAGCAACACTTCCTTCCCCCACCTCACCTCATGACTTGGCTGTGTTTGGACACACATAAGCCACTAATTACAAAGTCAGTGGTTCAAACTCACCAACAGCTATTAGGTGGAACAATGAGTGTGGCTGTTTCTGTACAGATTTAGTCTTGGAAACTCAAAGCAGCAGCTTCATTCTATCCTATAGGGTCTCTATACATTGAAAATTGACTCAATGGCAGTGGGTGGTCTTCTAGTGATTCAATTTTGGGGAAAATATTGTTACTTCATTTTGCTGACTTTTGATGTTTTGTATGCATTTCATTCAGGAAGAAAGTTAAGTACTCTGAATTAATCCATACACTGTGTCTAAAGTGTATGTTTATATACTAATTACTTTTTGATAAAGGAAAGTTGCATTGTAAGAATACCCTTCTGCCATTATTCAACAAATAACTAATGCCAAAAGGAATATTAGTTTTTGGTTAATGTCTATTAAGTTACTTGAGGAAAAACATTTTTAGTAGGCAGCATGCACAGTATCCAGATGCAATTCAGCATACTTTCTAGTGTGCTTTTTATTTTTCACTATTGGGGTAGGGTTCAGCCATGGCAATAAAACTTCATGTATCAATAAATGTCCATCCCAACTAACTCCATGTTTTACCTTCTCTCTTATCCCAGATCAAATGACAAAATATCTGAATGAGGCCCAAGGTGGAAATCAATCACAAGTGATCGAATTTGTACTCTTAGGACTCTCAGACAATCCGGATCTACAAGTTATCTTGTTTGTCTTATTTCTATTAATCTATATGGCTACTATGGTAGGAAATTTGGGGATGATCATGCTGATTAAGATTGAGCCTAGTCTCCATACCCCCATGTACTTCTTCCTCAGCAGCCTCTCCTTTGTCGATGCCTCCTACTCTTCTTCTGTGACTCCCAAGATGCTGGTGAACCTTGTGGCTGAAGATAAGACCATTTCTTTCAATGGATGTGCTGCTCAATTCTACTTCTTTGGCTCCTTCTTAGGGACTGAGTGCTTCCTATTGGCCATGATGGCGTATGACCGCTATGCAGCCATTTGGAATCCCCTGCTATATCCAATTATTATGTCTGGGAAAGTTTGCTTCTTATTAGTGGCTACCTCATTCCTTGCAGGGTTTGGAAATGCAGCCATCCACACAGGGATGACATTTAGATTGTCCTTTTGTGGATCTAACAGGATCAACCATTTCTACTGTGACACCCCACCCCTGCTTAAAATTTCCTGCTCTGACACGCACATTAATGGGATTGTGATCATGGCATTCTCCAGTTTTAATGTCATCAGCTGTGTTATTATTGTCCTTATTTCCTACCTATGCATCCTCATCGCCATCTTGAGAATGCCCTCATTAGATGGCAGGTACAAAGCCTTCTCCACCTGTGCCTCCCATCTCACTGCTGTCACTATATTCTTTGGGACAATTCTTTTCATGTACTTGCGTCCAACATCTAGTTACTCAATGGAGCAGGATAAAGTTGTCTCTGTCTTCTATACAGTGGTGATCCCTATGCTCAATCCTCTCATCTACAGTTTGAAAAACAAAGATGTGAAAGAGGCCCTAAGGAAAGTCTTAAAGAAAAGTGTCGTGTGAAGGCATGCTAAACATATGTTTTCTTGTTAATTTTTCTTATTGCTTAAGATCCTTGCTTGTATTAAGAAGGATAATTTAAAATTATGTATAGTTCTTGTTCTTATGATATCTGATGATATGTATATATGGCCGATCTGATGCTACCATGTAGTAAGTGGATAATCATCATAAAGACAGAGTATTCTGGTAAAATATTTCAACTTTTGGAGTTGGCTGGCTTGGGTTTATGTTCCAACATCAATACTTAGTTCTTGCCAGCCTCAGGTTTATTATATCTATATTAGTGTGTCCAGTTGGAAAACTAGTGTCTCCTGGAGAAAAACAAACTCGGGGAGTGTGGGGGATTGTATACAAGAAGAATTAGGGAAAATTGTGGCCAGGAACAAACACTGTAAGGGAGGAAGTTTCGCAGTTGGGCTCAAAGGTTGCATAATGGTGAAGTTGTTATGAGGAGTTAGCCAATCTATATAAGCTCTCCATGCATTCTGGAGCTTACAGACTGTGCTAGCCCTTCAGAGATGATCATGATTGTGACAAAGGGGTCAGGAATTGACATCCACAATGGCCAGTTTTGGATACGCACTAGTCACTGGCAGTGGGCATGATTTTAGCCAGATCTATTTCTTAAAGCACAAGGAAAATCTCACAGAGGAACTGTAATATGAATCATTAGCTGGTGTTACATCTGCTAGATGAATAAATTTCTACCCCCAAAAGCACTAAATGGGTGATATGCATTGCTTTAACTAATAAAAGTTATTTCGCTCACATGGATGCTGAAAATAGAAGAAAAGTACATGCGTTCAATCACAAATTATAAAAATTATGGGAGTCACAGCTACATTACAGGTATAGATTACAATTCGGATGTGTTAATAGGACTATTTTAAGGGTAGTAGTTAGTGTCCTTTACTTTTTCATCATCACTCATAATTTTTCAAAAACATTTATGTACTTACTGCTCTTTAAAATGGCATGGAATGTTATAAACATTGGCCCAGTGGGATAACAGCTTCCTTTGATGAGATAGTATGGTGAAGACTTTCAGTAATTATGTGGACATCAAGGAAATGCATAGTCTTCTTTTTTTTTTCCTCATTTCCACTATCTACTGCAGGCCATAAGCAAGAACAAGCATGTGCTGCATGTTTCAAGTGAAACTATCTCCCAGGAGTCTCATCCCTGAAAATTTTGTCAAGAGATCACAAAGAAAAAGTTAACACAATTTATCCCCACTATCATCGAATCATAAGCTCAGGGGCAATCCTCCCCTTTCCCCATAATTTTCAATTCCTCTCAAAGGTATCCAACATGTTCCAATGCCTGAAAGTCCTCATCACTTCCTATTATCATCATTCACTGCTCCCATCATGTTTACTCATTGCCCAGGTGAGATTTGCGTGTTCTCCTGTCATCATTCACACTCAGTCATGTGGTTCTAGTTCCCGCCATTCTACTCACTTGATTAAATCCCAGCGTCTAAACACACCAACTCTTGACCATAAAGTTTATTAGGTAAATTTGATTGTTCCTTTGCTCTGGTTCCCTACTTACATGGCTTACTACAATTAGAAGAAAGCACTCAGCAACCCAGTCCTCTGTTCCTGACATTCCCTCATATTTCATTCTTCTAAGAATAAACAAAAGATTGCTCCCTTATCACCATGCTTGAATTTTGGAAAGACTAAGGTAAAGAAATAGTGTGTGTAATATCATAATAAATAATGCATATAAGATCAATTTTTAATATATTTGAAAATTTCCAAGGATATGGCATCTCAAACTATATATCTACTCTGTCCATGCATCAATTTCTCATACTCAGCCTGAAATATTCTCATTTGTTTATACATTTGGTTTGTATCATCACCCTTTTTTATAATTTTCTTTACTGAAAGCCATATACAGCCACTAATGTATATCTCTGCAACTTTGTAATTAATCTTCTTAAATGGACTAACTACCCTAGTCATCCCCCCTATTTCTTCATATCAAAATCAATACACTTCAATTGTGTTTCTATACCACCACACTCCATTTACCCTAATCTTGCCATGGACACAGAAGACCTCCACACTTCCAGATGCAAATATTACTATCCTTCCTTACTGTCAAATGATGTTCAGGAACATTTGTTGCAATTGATGCTTTTATCTATCTTGCCACCCCTCTCTAGGCTCCCCTGCTACCACATTCTTCTTTTTGTCTTTCTCCATCAACTGTCTGACTCTGCCTCCTCCTGATACTTCCCTTTAAATCTTGGAACCAAAAGCTTAACCCGCAGCAGTTAATTCCCCATTTGCACTTAATTTTCTGGCAATTGAAATCTTTAATGATGCCAAAATTTCTGTCTTTTGACCTGACTTCCCACTTGATTTCCAGATTTATATATTAAATTTACAAGCTGACAGCTGAAAACTTTGGACTCTTGAAGAATATAAGAAATTAGTATTCTTCACTTATTTAATATGCTTAGATTTCTATAAAATAATCATAAATTTTGTACAGTAAAGATGTATTGCCCCTTACATCACATTTGGATATACTAAAAAAAAAACAAAAAAAAATACTTCACTACTAGCAGGTCGATTCTGACTCATATTGTTTCATTTAAAATATTCTTCTTTGTATTATTACAAACTTAAAAAAACCATTTTATTGGGACTTTTACAGATATTATAATAACCCACAAACTCTATAAATTATATAACAATCCATCAATTATATCAAGTTAACTTGGACATATGTTGCCATCATCATTTTCAAAACATTATCTTTCTACTTGAATCCTTATTATCAGCTCCTCTTTTGCCCTCCCTCTCCAAACCTCACACTTATAAACCATTGATAATTTATATATATATTTTTATGTGTATATGTATATATATATTTTCATATATTACACAGTCCGCATCTCCCTTCAGCCACGTTTCTGTTGTTTGTCTCTGTGGGTGGGAGAGTTATACATCCATAATTGCCATTGGTTCATCCCTCTGCCTTCTCCCTCCCCTCATGTATCGCTACTCCCATTACTGTTTTTAGGGTTTTATGTGTCCTGGCTTCCATGTGTCAAAAGCTCTTTTCTGTACCAATGTACATACTCCATTCTATCAGGATTTGTGAGGTTAACCTGGGGTCTTAGAAGTGGAGAGGAGGAAGCATTAAAAAAGCCGATAAATATGTTTCATCAGTGCTATACTGCACCCTGGCTGAATAGTCCCTTCTGTGTGACACTTTGTGAGGGGATGTCCAATTGTTTGCAGACAGGATTTGGGTGTCCACTCTAACCTCTCTCCTTCATATTGATTTAATTGCTTGTTTTTGATCTTCTGATACCTGACCTGGTTAACACCTAGTGATCACATAGACTGGTGTGCTTCTTCCCTGTGGGCTTTGTTTCTTCCTTGCTAGATGGCCACTTGTTTAACTTCAAGCCTTTAATACCCCAGACCCTATATCTTAATAGCCAGGCACCATCAGCTTTCTTCACCACATTTGCTCATGCACCTGCTTTGTCTTCAGAGATCGTGTCAGGAAGGTGAGTATCACAGAGTGCCACGTTATTAGAACAAAGTGTTTTTGTGTTGAAAGAAGACTTAAATAGAGCCCTCAAATGCACCTACCTTCTTAATAACTTAACATATAAATATATGTACATAGATAAATACCCCAATCCTTGTATATTAATATATTTACATATGTACATGCCAATATTTATACCTCTCTATATGGTTTTTGCCTTCTAGTTTTTCCTCTATCTGCGTTTACTTTCCTCTTGCCCCTCTATCATGTTCATCCTGCATTTGGTTCTTTGTAATTTCTCTTGGCTGCATTACAATTGATCAAACCCCACAAAGCATTCTACACCCTCCTTGCCATTGATTTTAGATCCCTTGTTGTTCCTTGAGTTTGTAGTCTCCCTACTCCCTTTCCCCCATCTCCTCTTCCTCACCCCCTTCATCAACCCAGAACCACCGTTCCCCTTGCTTTCTCCTAGGGATTGTTTATTCTGTCTATCTTATAGAGATAGGCATATTAAATAAATAAATAAAAATAAAAGAAAAAGCCTATAAATAGTTCCAAGTCTATCTGCTGACTTTTATGAATATTTTCACACCAGGTCTGATGAGGTGGCAGGAGGTCCCCTGAGTCACAAGTATATTTTTGAGATTCCTTGGGAACTTCGTGATTTTGCTGCCTTTGTTGCTCTGGTGGGTGCCCATCATGATTCGCCTGTCTGGGGGAGGGGTGGTGGGGTCAGACTGGACTCACTTCCCTCCCTGTGTCTCCAGTGTTGTCTCTCCCCTCTTATAATGCTCCTGTGTGTTTAGGACAGACCAGCCATCCTCCTCAGCCCATATCTTCAGTGTTGTCCTCTGTAGTACATTCTTCTAGGGTGGGGGTAAACATCGCTCGAATTTGGGCCGACCCCTTGGTCCTCATTGTTAATGCCCTGCTCCATGCCAGTATGTTGCCCTCAAGACTTGGCACACTGGAATGAGGTGTCTGGTTTCTCTCTCCCTTTTCTGTGGAGACATAAACAACACCCTCCCCATGGGTGGATAAGTGCCCTGTTCCCCAACCTACCATTATCTTTTCCCCCTCCCCTCCTTTTCAATTGGATGCCATATGGTTAGGTCTGAACACTGCCCAGATGCCTGGACCTCAATCAGAATTCACGCATTAAATAACGTATCCTCTATTGCCCGTACAAATGATATATATATATTTTTAATTAATTTATTTTTTTGACATTTTATTAGGGGCTCATACA